ATTAAAAATAGAAAGTATTCTGAGCTGATTTATAATGAAAATGCAATGTACCAAAACTTGTGCAACACAGCTAAACCATACTTAAAGGGAATTTAAAGATCTGAATGTCTTGATTAAACAAGAAAAAAGGCTGAAAATCAGAGATCTAAATATCCACCTCAAGAACTCTGAGGAGCGATAAATTACATCCTAAAGAGTAGAAGAAAGTAAATTTTAAAAATTAAAAGAGCATAAAACAATGAAATAGAAAACTACAGTACAATGAAGATCAACAGTCTGAGTAGGTTCTTAACTAATAACTATTATAATTAAAGATCAGTAAAATGTATTAAATCATAGGAGGATTAAATCATAGGATACACAGGTATTTACAAATGTTGCAAATAGAAAAGAGGATTTATGGACTCTATCAACTTTAAGTAGTCATAAGATGCAAACACACACAATCAAAACAAACTTTATGCCAACAACAGAAAAAAGAAAACCTAGATTAAATGGACAGGTTTCTAGAAAATAAGAAAAAACTTAAAGCAGACACAAGTATAAACAGAAAAACTGACATGTTCTATGTCAAGAAAAGTAACTGGATCTGTAATTAAAATTAATTTATTTCCTTATACTAATAACAATTAAGTAGAACATAAACTTATTTAAAAAAAACTATACCTAAAATCAAAACATCTAGGAATAAAGCTCCTAGGAATAAATATACCAAAAATTGTATTAGATTTCTATGTAAAAAACTGTACAATATAATTGTGAAAATGTACAAAGCGCCTAAGTAAATGTTGGGATTACCATCTGCTTGGATTGTGAGATGCAGTATGGTAATTTCTAATTCTCCTCAGTGTATTCTGTAGATTCAGAGCAACTCCAAGCGCAAAATCTTTTTTTTGTTTTTGCTAAAAATACGTATGCAATGCAAAGAGTGAAAAAACAAAAACAACCTGTAACGTGATTATGAGTATGTTTAGTAAAAGAAGTTAGACACAGAATACATACTGCTTGATTTTAACCTCCATGTATTTCAAACACAGGGAACAGATAAACGATATTATTTGATATAATATAAAGTTATAGCAATAGTTATCTATGGGAAGTAGAGACTGTAGTTTTGGGGAAGAAACATAAGGGGAACTTGTTCTATTTCTTTCCCTGTGTCATATTGATATGTTGTTAATTTTGTAATAATTACTGCTCTGTACACTTACGTCTTATATTCTGGGGGATGGGTATTTCAATTTTTTTAATTATAATAAAAACTAAAGAAGACAACTTGTGAGAAAATATGGGACAAAATGATTAGTTGTGCTAGTCCTATAGGTGATGAATAGTATTAAGTGAAAGAGAGAACAAAAAGAGGAGAATTACTAGTAAGTCCACTAGCTCGGGAATGGATCTAGAGTTACGAAGCTATCACACAGAGAATGCTCATGAGGCGTCAAGCAGGAGACATTTGAAAAAAAAAAAAGACCTAGTATCATTCTTTGGAAATTTCTGAAAACAGGCCACCTACAAAAAAAAAAACAAAGAATCAAACCTCCCCAGAACTTCTCACTGATGACTCCTGATGTTATGAAATAAGTGATAATTTTAAAATTTTCAGGAAAAAAATTATTTTCAATCTAAATTCAATATTCAGGCCAGCATCCAAACTGGTTTGAAAATGAAACCATTATGTAGCCTACAGACATGACATGAAATAACCAAATTCCTCCCTCAAATCAGTCTTGAAATGAAAAGACACTATTTCAGAAAAATTATGATGAAAAATGTGAGATAAGTGAAATTCAAGAAACTTTCTCTCAAGATGAAAAAAAAAAGAGGAAAGAAAGCGAAAGGTGGGTGGGTGGGAGGAAGAGAGAGGGAGGGAGGAAGGTGGGAAGCAGTAATCGTGTGAGAGATGCACTGGTCCTTGTAATAAAAGACTTCAGATTAGAATCCTCTATCAGTAGAATCTGAGAACATGCTCAAAAAACCAAAATTTTCATCTCATATATAAATAGAATAAGGAAGTTAGATAGCATTTGTCATGATACAGAAAGCATTTTCTTGTTTTTCCAAAAATATAAAAGGAAATTATAAACTCCAAAACAAAATTTAAACACTGTGTAATAAAGCCAAGACACTATTTTGAAGCAAACTGAAATAGAGCAAAACAAAAATGCTGTCATACTAAGAACATTCTCCTTTGAGTAGCACAGGAGTCCTGACACTGGATACCTAAAAACAGCAGCAGCAATAGTAATGGCAACCCGCATCTATCAAAACCCGACTATTTACCAGGCACTATTATTCCATGATCTTTTCAGGTAGTGAATCAGTTGATTCTCAATACAGTCCTATGAAGTTAAGTCCTATTTCACAGTTTACAGATTAAGAAACTAAAGAACAGAGAGTTTATGTAATTTGTTCTAAGTTATATTCCTTAGGAAGTGCTGGGCCTGAAATTTTAATATAGCCAGATTGGTTCTAAAGCTTGAGCCTTTAATTACTGTTTTTATGTCTTCTGCAAAAATATTATTCCACAGGCATTCTTGTTTCTAAATTAACCAATGTTAATTGAAGACAATTGAGATAAATGATTAAGACTAACACTAATTTTAATCTACGAAGCATGTTAATCATGATTATTTAGGGAAGGCCCCATTTTTCTCTCTTATTGGGCTGGCTGTCTCTTTTACCTCTCCCTCTCACCTTCTCCCATATAATCCGTCCCCATTCTTGCTATATTAGTAATTTAATAATCTGTTCATAATCTGGTGTGTAATCGTTCACATTCCCCCATGCTCTTACAATCATATGCCAGTGCATCAGGGCATATGTTTCAACACACAAATACAAATAATTGCCTGGAACCAGCTGCGTTTCCAGTCTCTGATAACTCCCTGGATGTTGGTAAGCTGTTTTGTCTGAATACTCAGGTCTATTTTAACTTACTTATTCATTGCTTATATTCTATGTTTATTTTCTTCCTTAAAATTAATCTAAATGTATCATGCTGTTGTGTTTTTCCTTCTTTTTATACTATTAAAATGCACTTAAATAAATTTCTTCCAACTTGTTTGCCAGGTCACTAATTTAGGCCTCAAAAGACAATCTTATCTTTTAACTAACATAAGGGAAATATTTCCTTGTTATTCAGAATTCAGACATTTTTTTCCCCTTGCTTAACTACACGCCTGTGTGAGTGTATGGATGGATGCTGAAGCATCGAAATTTCCCTAATTGTTGTTAACTAATTTTTTTTGTTCAAATTATCAGCCTCCTCCAGCACCTTTACTGCAATGGTTACACATTCTGCGAGTATAAGTTTTATTCACTCTCTGGCTGCCTCAGCTATATATAAAACCCATCCTGTTAGTCTCGCAGTAGACTGGGCACAATCCCTCATGTGAAAAAGAACGGCCATCTCTCCATCAATGGACCAGTGACACAGAATCAGGCAAGATGCAGTCCCAGCCCCCAGCTAAGATATTTAGAATATCAAGCACATCCATGGGGCTGAATTAAGCCTCCCTACAACAGTCCCCACAGCTGAGTCACATTTTTTTGAGGAGCTGCACCCTTGTGATCTTCAAAAGATTCTCTGACAAGGGACTCCAGACAGTTGGCCTCACCCATAGCAGAGAAACCCCTCATCAGTTTTCTTGGGCCAACTCCCATAGAGGCCAAAGGATGAACTCCGATCCAGACACTTTGTATTTTCCAACATTTCAAATCTGGAGAGGCAGATAGATTAGAGCTGGACACAACTGAGAATGAGCTGCAGTGTGAGGAGTCCAGTTCTTGGACAAAACCCCCTGTGGGATTTTTCCAGGCCCAACAACAGGCAATTCCAAAGGCCTCCCTGGCAGACGTCGGAGGAAAGCTGCCCTCCCCACAGCAGACCTGCAGCACAGCCAACGCACTGCAGTCTCTCAGGGGAGTAACAATCAAGGACCCAGCCCCCTGGCCACCATGTCTTCCTCCTCTCAGCACTCCCAGTCCCGGTGCCTCCATGTGGAAGCCTCCTTAGAGGAGAGGAGCTCAGGTAAGGCCTTCCCCAGCCATCTCTGCCAAGAGCACCTTCCGAGGGCAGAGGCCTTGAAGACAGCTTTCTCCACTCAGATAAAGGGTGCGCTACTTCCCATTCTAGCCCTCTTCCCTCATCCTTCTCCCCACACCCCCACCAGGAGCCTTAGTTTCCATTTCCCTCGGCAGTGAGACAATCCCCATGTCTTCACTTAACTTCCTTACTCTCACCTCTCCTTGTCCCAAGGAGAAAAACGGAAGATCTGGGGAACCGATGCCTTCTCCTGTTTGACCTCCCATCTACGTTACCGCAGTAAAGCATTAAGGACTTAACCGCTGACACCTGCTAGCACTTGGCAGCGCCTGGCGGCTCAGGCGGCTCCAATTCAGCTCAGCTGGCGGCACAGCAGACGCCGGGAGGGGCCGCGCAGACAGCCCTTCAAGCCCAGGCACTGCCCCAAGCTTCCAAATCCTTGGCTTCCGAGAGTTTTCAATTGACTGGCCCCCCATAAATTTCCCACAGCCTCAGGAAGCTACCAAGACCAAGTTTACACTGTAGCTAGTGTGCGACAACCAGTACAAGAAGGGATAGGAAGGTCTGCTTCACCCCGCTCCCCGCTCCCCACCCCTGACCTTGAAGAGGGCCTGTGAAGAGTCAACCCAGCAAGACCAGCTGGGGCCTCTGACTTAAGTGTAAGCGCTTGGCCGTTCAATCACCCATTCTGCCCAATCCTACACCTTCACTCCGTAAGTGACGCCAGGGCACTTCCCCCAAGATGACACGGACTCAAAGTGAACCTCGCAGTCTGTTTCCCACTGCACCTAAGACAAGAGTCCATTTTTCTTTACCATAATTTCGCTTTAAATTTATAGGCAAACAGTAGACAAAGCAGAAAAACCTAATTATGGTGAGTTTAAGTATAAAGAATCGATGGTACGAGAGAGAAAGTTGGAAAAAGGGAAGAAAGGTGTGTTAATACTCCTACCTTGAACAGTGGTCAGAAAGAGACAGCTAAGGCGGCAACACAACCGGGCAGAGCAGCGCGGACCGGCATCTGGCAGGAGCAGCCGTGAGCACGCGCGGGCCGTGAGCACGCGCAGTTGCTGGGTACGGGGTGGGCGGGGCTCGCAGGCCTGCGCGCGTAGTGGGCGGCCCTGCTGCTGACGCAGCTGCAGGAGCTAAGGCTAATCCTAGCCCTCACCTGCTGCTAACGTAGCTGCAGGAGTGCGCTGCTTGGTGTCAAGACCAGCCAGGTGCACGCCCTTTGGCTGGGAGCTAGTGCAGGCCCGCCATATTGAGAAAAAAAAAGGTATCGGAAATTTAACAGATTTAAAGATGGACTCTATATTATATAGAAAATCATTTTCTTAAATATGAAAATAACATTATGGTTATGTAAGAAAATATCTTAGTTTCAAGGAAAACATCATTGGTATACAAAGGTGAAATATAACATCAATTTAAAATAATTCAGCTCAAATATATAATAGATATAGAATATATAGAAAAATATTCTATTAGCTAAGCCTATGTGATGAGTGTAAATACACATAGTCATTCTGCTCTGGTTTTTGCTGTTTTGTATATTTGAAAGTTTTTATAATACAGTACATAAAAGCATGAATTAATGAAATATTAATTTAAATTCCAGAATATTACTTGATGATAAAAATGGCTAAAATGATCAACTATAACCTGAAATTAAAGCGAGGTGACTTGAAGTGAATTCTATGTGTTCTCATTTTCATCTGTCATAGAAAGTAGTAACAATAAATGTTAATACTCATATTTCAAGAAATGCTTGTATAAAAAAAATGACAATGTTGTTGCGAAAAACAAGAGAACCTCAAATGTAGACCTTTAAAAATCATTGCTTCTACAGAGGGATAGTGGAACTGTGATTCCAAAAGGGACGTGTGGGATGATTTTTTTTGCACGTTTTCTATAATCATGGCTTTCACCATCTGTATTTTTTACATCAATAATAGAAATAAAATTGATTAAATAAAAATAATCCGTGTTGACTATCATGAATTAAATACTCTGTCTTTCTTTTTATCCTAATTTTCATGAAATATATAAAGAGACTCTCGTGCTATAATTTGTTTTGAATTTTATTGGTAGGTGACAATATATGCTTCAAAGATATCTATTCTCCAAAATCTCATAGGAAGAGAAATAATTCACAAGTTAGGTGCAGCCTTCCACAGAGCATAGCCCATTGTTACTGCTTTCAATTGCCACTTTGATCAAGAATGTTCCCTATAGCTCTATAAAGCAAATAATATATTATCAGGAAATCATCCCAAATATCAAAAACCCTGTTTCAATGACATAATTTTTTTCCACATTGGACTTCAAATTTACCCAGGGATTTGAAGTACTCTGATTTATTTTATGATTTGATTTTTCTGTATAAAATACAACTTTTTTACATAACTTTGCCATTCCAGGTCATGTTACAAGTATAAATGACAGAAGTAGTGAAGTAGTGATCTACCTGAGAATGTCCGCATGTGGTTATTAAGTTCCCAGTCATTTCGGTCTGCTTGAGCTTCTCCTGGAAATAGGGCATGGCAGTGTGGCTTGTGACTCCAGCAGTGTATTTTTCATGTTGCTTATATGGGATTTGAACGACTAGTTACAGTATCTCCTAACACTCACATGTCAGTTTTTCACCAGTTTAGCTGTACTAGTTAATTACTAGCTCTAGGTAGCTCTTTTGCTTTATTCATTTATAGGAATGACAAAGTGTTATGTGATAAAATTGATTAAAAGGAATGTGGGAAATGCTGGATCTTCAATATCACTTGTCCTCTATAGCATCTTGTTTATATAAAATAAGTCTTTATTTAAAGGGTTTATAAATAAATTATATATAATTATAAATAAATTATATATATTTAATTATAAATATATAATGATCACCTGTAATTTACATATGTACATTTATTTACATATAATTTGTATATCCACTAATTCACATATAGTCTCTCTCTCAAAATGTATAATATATACATCAGCAGTAATAGAGATTCAGAATTACATTGGAGGCAACACTCTGATGTGGATGGTAGAAGTAAACTGATTGGATATTGTGGGGCTGCACCATGCTGGCCTGCAAGGCCTGTGCTTACCCAGCTTCAAGACCAAGGAAAGAGCCTGGAGTCAGCAACAGAGACATCAGTGGTTTAATGGATGGGGGTACCTACATGTCTGAAGCAAGTTCCTGGTATGATACCCCACTGTGTGCGGCAGACAGCAAGGCAGGACAAAGTGGTAGTCTTTGCTCTTGGTCGGAGTAGGGGGTTAGCAGCTATACGGGGAATTGACCTCTGGTTGGCTCATCTGTTACCAGGGAAAGCAGCAGAGGGGCATCCCCCTCACCTTCCCTTTTGATAAGCATATTGGAGAGTTCTGATCTAAAGTTAGAAAGATCACTAGCTGGGGCAAGTGTGTAGGAAGATCAGTCCTGTGAGTAAGGTGCACGTGAAGCAGGCACTGGTTGAGCAGGGGATGGACAGACAGTAAGAGAACAGCCATCTTGAGTGGCCTGACCATACAGATGTTCTGTTTAAAAATTCAGTAACACATTTTACATAGTGACATTTTTTATCAACAAATATCATATCTGTTTTTGAAGGGAAGGTGTTAAACTGAGAATGTTATCTATTAATGATCAAGCTTATATTTTTCCAATAATAAAACATTTACTTATAATGAAGAGTTGCAGTAGAATAATAGGAAAAGAAAAGGAAAAAAATGCACATAGAATCTGAACTTAGTCTGAATCCAAGTTATTACTATATGACCTTGAGCAACTCATGTACTCTCTGAAATTCATTTTTCCCATCTGTAGAATGGAGGTGAGAACAGTAACAGCAACCTCCCAGTGTTTCTGCAACTATCATGTGAGATAAAGTATATGAGAGTTCTTTGGAAATTTGCTCAAAAATGTTAGCTAATTTAATTTAATTAGCTAGAGGTCATATTCTAATGTACTTGACATCTACATTCTATTTCATTCCCATTTAGAGTTAGGAAAAGTCATTCACTAATCATAAGGTTATTATTAAAACTTGTTTATAATTCAAAGGAGGCAAATGTTAATCAGACAAATTAAAAATGCCACAAATTAGAAATAGCAACACTTTCCTTCTGGGGTAAGCATGCATGGCATATGGGAATTTAGTGTTAGATAGATGACTGTAGTAATAACGATAGATAATTAAATTCATGTGTTCAAGTGGCCTCATTTTTATCTGAATGTGTGTGCACATGAATACAGAAAATAAGCAGTTTAAGATTAATATTTTCCTGTTTATAAGTTACAATTTGTTAACATAAATTATATTTGTCATAGTCCAATAAAAATACAATATAAATTCAAGTTGTATGTCATTATTATTGCATAGATTCACAAATATAAAGAGAAGTAATATATCACCTCTTTCCTACTATAAAATCAACTTATATACATAAAGTCTCTTGTGAAATATCTTTATAAGGAAATATGTTGCCTTAAGAGCCCATTCTAAAATTGATTACTCCATATATTCTTATTTAAATAAATTATCACAAATAGGTCATTTTAAATAGAATTACTTACAAGTATATTCTCCCACTGGAGCTAAAAATGAAAAGACCATTTTTCCAAAAGCTTTTTTTTTTTTCCAATGGATAGTTTGTTTAAAATAACCTATCATACCTCAATGAGGTAAATTTATTCAACATTGTTTATAGTGCTCTTTAACTTCACCTAATTGTTAAGATTGTTCTATAAATAGTTATGTAATGGTTTTGCTACACACTGTTTAATTTGCTTCAAAGTATGTGTTAATATACTACTCTCCAATGCAAAGAATTTAAAGTTGTCTTTAATGCAGGTTAATTTACAAATTTCACAATTTTATTTTTCGCTTTTTTTAAGATTTAATAAAAATAATAAATTAGAAACCTTTCAAATGATAAGAGAAAACTATTTTTATGCTCTGTAAATTTTGTGAATGTTACATATTGTTAAAGTGTACCATAAAGAGGCAATATCTACCATCTGTTTCTATTAAAATAATATTTTAATTTGTTTTAAAATAGAGAACTGGTGAAAAATAAGACTCCATTAGTTAGTAGCACCTGAAAGCATCTTTTTATGTGGAGAGCACCACACTTTTAACACATGTATTCTTAAATTGACTAAAAAAGATGTATAATGACCATCAAAGGGTCCCTTAACAAAGAATAGCAAATTTTAATAGTGACAAATCATTACAATTTAAGACGACAAAGTATGCATAAATTATTTTTATTCATACTCAATTTTTATGAGACAATTATATGAAATGGGTTTTTAATATTCATCAAGTTAAACAGAAGCAAATACGAGAGTGAGTGAAGCAATTCTCTTCTGGAAGAGAGCTAAGGGAATCAGGTAACTACAAAAAATAGGCTCTGAAGATTGGTCCTGAGCATGAACTCCAGTGCCCTACTGTCTGGGTGTATCTTCTGGCTCAGCTACTGACTCTAACCTGGTCAAGATTTCTCATTTTTGCATAACTTTTTCAAGTGTAAAATGGGAGTCATAACAGAATTGACCTTCTAGAATTTCTCTGAGCATTAAAATTATAGGCTTTAAAGCAGTGCACATAAGAAGTGCTGAATATGTTTAACTGTTGTTATTGGCCGTTACTTCCTTGATACTAAATTTAAATTATCAGCCATGCATAAACTTGTTGTTCTGTTTCCAGTGAGAAGTAGCCAAAAGCCATGATGGGTGAATTAATAATAAAATGCATTGCTGAAGGAAACTGTGTACTAGAAATACATGAAGACCCATGTAGAAGAAATAAATAAAATAATTAAGAAAGAAAAAACAATAGAGATAATTGCATTTTTCTCCAACTCTATTTCCCAGGTGGTGGGGAGGTGAGGGGAGTCGGGGTGGGGATGGGAGTGGTTAGGCCTGGATTAAAGGCCACATGGTGAGTACCACGAGCTCCTCTTTTCGTTAGATGAACTAAAGTTTCTATATAAAACTACTACGTGGATATTTAACATTTTTCTCGAAAACATTTTTTGTAGAGGGCCCAAAGTATTTCATCTATTGCCTGTTTTCTTTCAATGTAAACTTTTTCTTTTTTTGACAGCATCCTTGTTTTTTGGCCCAGTAAGATGTTTCAGCTAATCTATATTTCCTCATGCAGCTTTTGCTGCTCTTTTTAATCAGTGAAAGGTATTTAGAGAAGTCAC